AATTGTCATGCGCGGTTCTTTGAATGAATCTCCCCCAAATCGCCCAGCGTTTTCAATTCCGTATACTGACCCGTTTAAGTACGAAATAAGATCATTCTACTAATGACTTGAGTTTGTATGTGGACGATTTTTCTACCCAAATCGGCAAATTTGGACGGAATTCACAATATTTAATTTAATCAAGTATGTCGTACCTTGATATATCATACCCGTGGCACAACTCATGCAAAACACGTGAATATTGCTGGTGGCGGTCAAGTGCAACATCATCGGTAAATTACGGAAGACGAAAGTAGTTTATTATTGTGAGTGCCGTCCGAAGCTACGGGGTATCAAGGGGTTAAGCCCTCAAGTGAACATTTCAGTAGACCTTACGGTGTCATTCCGAATGACTCATTCGAGCTGGTCGATGCGTGAGTCTTAACTCGAGCAATCCTTCGCATATCCGAAATCAGGAGATCCTGTCGTGATGGCCAGACAAGGCTTGGAGCTTCTACCACGACGCGTTCGGTCGGGTGCCAATCGCCAGCATATTGCCTTGCCAAGCAGCCTTGGGTCCAAACAGGGATACCGAAAAATAAATATACTGAAAAGGCGTGACCGATAAAATAATTTATTTTGCTGTCAAGTATGCCCATAACTTGTTTTTTATGTTGATACAATTGAAATTGTGATAATTTATCGTGCTTGCTGGCTGGCTGCGACACATAAATTGTGAGTAGCTGAGCGAAACCAAACGTTTTATCTTCTCTCGACACAAATTACCCTAATAATGCAACCGTGACATAGTGTTTTGGAAAGTGGCATCGATGGAGGTGCGTTTGAAAAGTACTTTATCCCTTTGGCAATACCTGCAATATGTTATTTTCACCTTGGTCCCATTTTCAGTTATTTATTTGACTGTATACGCCCGACCAATCCGTAATTATTTGTTGTCACATATATAAATACAATTTTATTGTATTTTCGGAATCCCTGGGTCCAAGGTAGGCAAACTTGTCCAGTCCGTTACAGATTTCCTAACAAAAGCTAACTATTCCTAGCTAACTCTGTCGATTCTCGCTGTAACCCGAGATAAAATTTGGTAGAAACGGTAGAGTCAGTGGTGGATTGCACTCACCGTCAGCGATCCTGCGCACACAAAGCGCAAGATGTTGAAAGCTGCGTTGACATCTCGACCCGCAACGTGTTCGCAATGGGGGGGGGGCACGAAAATACATCTCTACTACCGAGTCTCAAGTGAAGCTTGGAGCATCGACCGCACGTTTGGCTAGAGTACATCTCTGAGCAAACGACCAGTGACTTGCCCATGAGTTCACACTTTGTCTGCAGGAGCTTCCGAAACTGAAAGTGTCTGAGGCCCAGGAGCAGCCGGTTGAACGTGTGGTTACGCGCGCTGCTTTTTTCACCATGTCCTTCGAGTTGAAAACTGGGAGAATAATCGTGTCATAGTGCTTGGTCAAGTACGCACTCGTTTGATAGTGCATCTCCTTCACGCAGTTGCTCAGTTTGGCGGTGGCGCAGTGGAACGCTCGCTTGGCTCTCGCGAACGCTCGCCACTGCCTTCCTGAACGATGACCTTGGAAGTTCTTGATTGTTGACATCTCTTGTTGCGCGTTTTGGATTCGGGCTCGGTATTTATCTAAGTGTTCTTTGTTCCCACGGTCGATGTGAAGCGCGTTTCCTTCAAGGTCGACCCCGGTCACGAATGCTTTCATTCTCCGATCCAGCGCTATCGTTCTACCACGGTTCACATACTCGCCAGGTCAAACGTACTGCGGAATGATCGCGTACCAAAAGCCATTAGTGTTCGTGATCTGGATTTTGTTATCAATCTCGATGCTTCGGT